ACCTTTTGAATTTTAAAGAGTTAATTTACTCTCCATGAGTTATCACTAAAATTTTATGCAACTAAAGCGCTTTCTGCTGCCGCTGCTATATTAGCAAAATAATAATATGATTTGCTATGCATGCTGCTGCTAATATTATTTCTAACCTTGCATCTGAATTTGCTATGCATGCTATAAAATTTGCTAACCTTGCAATCTGAATAGCTATGCATACTGGCTGCTGCACAGAAGTACTTAGAATTGCTACTGCCCCTTTATTAAATAAACAAACACAACCAATTAATGCTTATTTCACTTTGAAGAGTTCTATAAAACCTGTTGAATTGAATAGCAAAGTAATAAAATGCCTATTTCACATAAAAAGTTCACTACTATCCAGGCGTTATCTTATCACTGAAATTTCATGCAACTAAATGTACTTTATGCTGCCGCTGCTATATTAGCAACAGTGATAATTGGACTGCCATGCAGACAGCTGCTAATATTTCTAACATTGCATTTGAATTTTGCCATGCGTGCTGCTGCTATTAAAATTCACTAAACTAGTGATCTGAATAGCTATGCAATGCATAATGCTGCTATAGCTGCACAAAAGTTCTTAGAATTGCTATAAGCGTCTTTATTAACAAGCAAACGCAATCAAATAATGCCTATTTTGCTTTGAAGAGTTCACAAAATCTACTGTAAGCCCTGTTAAAGAAGCAAAGAAATAAAATGCCTATTTCACTTTAAAGAGTTACTTACCCCATGTGTTATCACTGAAATTTCAAGCAACTAAAGTACTTTCTGCTGCCGCTGCTATATTAGCAACAATAATTTGCCTTCCTGCTGCTAATATTATTTCTAACATTGCATATGAAATTGCTATGCATGCTGCTGCTATTAAATTAGCTACATGCGACCTGAATACTATGCATACTGCTATAAGGTACTTAGAATTGCTATAAGACCCTTTTAAATAAACGAAACGCAAATGATGACTATTCGCTTGAAGAGTTCACATACCATCCATTTTAAGTCACTGAAACTTCAGCAATTGTAAGTCGCTTTGGATAAAAGCGTCTGCAAAATGAATAAATAAGAATGTAAATGTAAACTACAGTCTACCTACTGCTGCCGCTACTAAATGCATAATTTGATTGCTATGCATACTGCTATTAATAATTCGCTAATAACGCAATCTGAAATTCTATGGATACAGCTGCTACACTCCATGAAAGTACTAGAATTGCTGTAGCCCATCCATGCATTATCGCTGAAATTTCATGCAACTAAATATTTGATTTGCTATGCATACTGCTATTAATAATTCGCTAATAACGCAATCTGAAATTCTATGGATACAGCTGCTACACTCCGTGAAAATACAAGAATTGCTGTAGCTCCTCCATGTATTATTGCTGAAATTTCATGCAACTAAAGTACTTTCTGCTGCCCTTGCTATATTAACAATAATAATTGGTTGCTATGCAGACTGCTGCTAATATTATTTCTAAAATGCATCTGAATTTGCCATGCAATTCTGCTGCTATTAAATTCACTAAAAATTGCAATCTGAATAGTTATGCATACTGCTGCTACAGCTGCACGAAAGTACTTGGAATTACTATTAGCGTCTTTTTTAAACAATGAAACGCAAACAAATAATGGCTATTTCGCTTAACATGGGCTACTGATTGGAAATGATTTATTATTAGTAGTATCTTTATATTTTAAACGAATTCATGATTAATTATCTGTAAACTATTACTAAACATGACTTTTATAATAAACTCTTCACTATCGCTGAACCAAGGTAACGAGTGAAATAGAGATGTGGTCCCTTTAAGAATGAGTGCTCCCTCTTCTGACTAAGTGCATTGCAATGCAGCACTTGTACATGTATGAGCGGGTATATTATTTTCTGTTGCTCGTTAAAATAGGTAAGGCTGTTGACAGTATGACGTTTATGAAAGACAGTTATACGGGTTCACCTTGACTTAAAACTGTGAACAACTGTGAAACGCCAACTGCAAACAGT